ACCCTGAAGGCCTGGCGTCGCAGTTCTAGGTTTGCTCCACGTACTGTCTGTGAATGGTGCTCGCCACTGGGGTTTTTACATTTCGCTGCAGCTCCGAGTGGCGAGCAGCGTTCACAGACAGTACGTGGAGCAAACCCATTTTATTACAACACAGCTGATTAGGCATGTTTCTTGGACTTCCCGTCGATTCGTTCCTACTATCCTCATACCAGCACTAACAGGATATCTCTAGGAGATATCCAGGCACATACGTATTGCATTTGACGCGGATTAATACCCGGAGGAACGCGCATTCACCTTGCAGCAGACAGTGTCCCAGCACGTACGTTCTCAGATTTCGGACACAAAATGACGAATCGGTAATGTGTACTGCCAGTAGTACCAAGCACTTGAGGATGCAGTGGTGTAGGATGCCGGCCATGGAGCAAGCAGCAGATCAGGTTATGAGGACAAGAGCGGCAGCGTTACAAATAGACAAATGCGAGCATAGACGCGCAGCAGAAATAGGGCATACTGCCTGCGTTTGTGCGAACCGCTGTACCCACAGCGGCAAAGATTGACAAGAGGTTGGGAAAAGGCCGACATGCACACTGGCCAACCGCAACAAACAATTATGTGTTAGGAACTAGCTTTTTGGAGTTCGCCTGTATAGGCTCTACCCAACAGGCAGTTTACTGCTACATGGGCTGAAAAGTAGGAAGGCCGATTGATTCTGTTGTAGGTGTAACTGCCGCAGGCGCCACGTACGACGCAGAAACCTCCCGCAGTAATTCAAGAACTACTGGGGGCAGATTCTACGAAATCAAGACATTGCATTATGGGATACCTACAACGCCCGATGGCTGCTCTGGGATTCGCCATGAGCCAGTCGGCTGTGGCCAGAAGTGCGAGCTCTAGGTAAAGTTGAAGGTTGACACTTACGACCTGCATAGCGGAAATGCTGATTTCTCAATGTTGCGCTCATTGGATCTCATGTTTAAGGCCACCTGAAAGCTTGTAGGCAGAGGCCCTGCGTACACTCACACAAAGCATGACCTGGCTACCAGCAGCAAAAACGCTCAGCTGTTCACTGTTGGGCAACGGCACTCACAGTCTTCACGGGAACGTCTACACAAAACCAATGATAGTTTGGAGGGCTCTGTTTTGAAGGGAAGCCACCAGGGTGTCGTACGCAGCCATGGGGTCAATTGAAGGTCTCAGAAGGGTTTGAAGAGGCCCGTGCAAACACTGCAAACATATTAGATACACATGCGAAATAAGATGGCAGATTGGGCTGTGATGGTGCTGGCAGCTTGACACCTATAGGGATTGCGGGACGCACCGCATGAGTTCATAAAATGGGTTTGGCCAATTGAGTGGGTTTTGTGGTAATGGAAGTGGCACAGTGCAAAGCTCGCCCCGACCAGTTGTTTGCAGCTGTGACGACTCACATAGCACCGCTTGGCTCTGCAGAGGCGGCTGCGCAGCAAAATTAGTTTTTCACTGCAGGTATGCTGGGAAACATATAAATATCTACATCATTGCTGTCCAGGGAATCTCTTACAGGCTGTGGTGCAGTTGAGTTCACCACTACCGGGCGAATTAGGCTTTTGCTTCTGGGCAGCTAGCGAGCAAAGCCTGAAATTTCTCTGTTAGGGATTAGGTGAAGCTGCTGCCTTGTCAACACATCCACAAATGAAATTGAATGCTCTGGTACCAGTCTTCATCGCGAACCGGTAGAGCGTCAAACAGGTTGTACAGGAAGCCGAATTCTGTGGTAGCCTTAAGGGGCATTGCAAGATAATGTGCAGGATGGAACGTGCCAAGCTTGGCTAACAAGCTAGCTACAATGCACGCCTGTATATAACCGACTGTCTGCATTGGCAGATAAAGCTCTGCACTGTACACGACGAGCTTACGCATTTCATATCTTGACGAAGGTAGTTGTTACAGCCCTGCACACTATTACTAGAAATATCTAGTAGTCAATATGCACACTGGCCGAGTTCTCGGCCAGAGCGTACCACCTGGCGAATCGTTATGCAGAAAGCATCCTTTCTACACAGTAACACATGTAATGAGTGCAATCAAGCCAAGCTCGACAAAATGGCACCGAGGCGGTGGGCACGCCAAGTAGTATTACGAGAATCTCCTACGTTAGACTACCACAATTATCCTAGTAAACAGCCTGAGACTCGTTTCAGCCGATTGCAGTGCTGGTACGTTGAGAAGTGTGTCTGAATATATTTGTTTTCTACTTGAGGGACGCTTACCGCTATTGGTATAGCCGTTTGATACCCAGAGAAAGTGGTGTTTATATCACCAGCGGGAGTGTACTAATATGGTCAGAATGACAGAGCAAACACACCAAAAAGCGAGCTTGCAGTTGTCCTGTACGTTTGCGCGTGTTCTGGAGATATATCTTCTTCGGGACACCAAAAGAGCGCAAAGCATCCTCTGTTTAAGGAGGCTGTTGTGGCGCTGTAGCATTCTGGCTATCAAGGCCATGCGCTGTGCCCCCGTCATGGAGCTGGGGTGTAGCAAGCGAAGCAATGCCCCCATTCTAACACCTAACACACATGCTGTATCCCAGCGTGGGCATATCCAACAGTAAAAGCTCACTTGCAGATAGAATCGTGCATACAAACTCGGCGCAGTCTTGTGGGAAGGCGACAGGCAGACAGAATAGAAGCAATTTCCATTGCGTACTCTCTGGATGTATCCAAATAGCAGGTGTGCCACCAACATGCAGCCCTTTTCAGAGAAAGAGAATATTTCGGTGATGCAAAACTAAAAACCAACCCCTTAAGCTCCGTACGCGCATTTCGGAATTTCTCGAGGGAAGCAGGCGCCACATGTAGGACACAGCCAGTAAAATTTAATGGCCAAACATAACATGCGGACACAGTGAGCGCTTCTAAATCCCTATGGGACGTACCAACAGTCGCAGCACGTATTTGTACAATAGAACGTAGAAATACTCAGATGACAAACGTAATGCAACATGATGACTACATCATTCGTTGCTGCGTGAGGTGCTCAGTAAAACGGCAACAGACACCATGCAAACAACCAGCATTTTCTCTCAAATAACGATGCCTCATGTCGTTCAAAGACATTAGGCTACCCCAAGAACCGAACGGGGTCTTGCAAGCAATGGCTAGACCTCCTTGGAACTGGCGAAGGCCGATACAAGAAGACACCGTATCGATAACGCATGGCCTAATGAAATGAAGGTTGACTGCTCGCTAGACCACAACGGGAGTGCTCCGCAAGGGGCTGCAGAGGTGAGTCGCCGGCAAAAACCCCAATGGTTACCCGTTGACACAAAAGGTGGCCCGGTGTAACCGAACTGCCCCTCAAGAACTGCACTTAAGGATGACATACGAATCGTGGCATAACAATCCCTAAATGCACGCATACAAACAACATTGATCTGCAGCAAAACAAACAGAGGAGCTTTGTGCGTGTGCTAGCCGTCTTGTGCATCTGTGTATGCCTGACCACGATCAAGCATGCAAAAACCACATAAGTGCATCTGTGGCTTGCACGAAACAGATATAGTCAGACACAACTGTTAGCATCTGCTCTCGAGCATGCAGGCTCGGCGATTGTTCGTCCCCCCTGCTACGGAGAGGATAGCACTAGAACAGGTCAGCCACAGCTCTAAAAGGAAGCTTCAGAGTTTCGGTATTGTGTAATCTAATTCGAACAGCCACGCTCTCTCTTTTTAAGCCATGAGTTAGTGTATTAGTGTGTGTGTTAAGTTCCTCCGATTAAGTTATTGACAAAAGTAGAAGAAAACAAATTAAGACAAAAATCGAGAGAGAAAAAAAAAAGAGGAAGTTTTCCAGTGTCTAGGCTCAAACCCTAAACCCTAAACCCTAAACCCTCGCAGCCCTCATCAACCTTGATGTCGTAAAATCACATAAACATTTATGAATAGCGTCAGGGTTGATTTGTGCTGCAGCAACATTTAATTGAATATTGAAGAAAATTTTTAATTCATTTATTTTATCAATATTAAGAGCTGTACATACACCTGACCATATTGCATGCGCAGGTGTAAGAGATTCAAATTTATTATTATTATTATTTTTGTTATATTTATTTATATTTGCAGTATTTATTAATCTTAATATTGGTACAGATAAACTTTTTGAATAATATGATGAATTATTTATATTATTTAAAAAAGAATTCCCTTCTATTAAGTAATTTAGCTGCCTATACACCCCAATATTGCTGCTGCTGCTGCCCTCACGTAGCGCCAATGCTATCGTCACTGCAGCACGACACTTCAAGGAAACCTACAGAAACAAATAAACAAAAAT